CAGATATAATTTCCAAATTTCGTCGTAGGTGGGATTTGAACCTTAGACCTGCCACTTGGAGGATGACAACCCAACTATTACACTTGGATCACCATCCTAAAGCTATATTTATTATACATGCATTAATTTTATTTTTATTATAAAAACTGCTATATACTATTTATATTTTCTAATTATTCAAAATTTTATTTTAAAATTAAAAAAAATATAATGAAAGATGTAATAATCTTTATAATATTAATAATAAAATAGTAACAAAATATTTTTTTGTTAGTATACTTTAACTAGATATATCAAAGCTTTTATATATAAAGTGATTATAAATTCTTTTAGAACTACAAAAATTTAATCTTTTAATTTTAAGACTATTAATATTAATTATTTTAATTTTTTATTATTAATTAAAAAATCTGATCTTTATCTTTATTAGCTAAACAAACTTTATTTTTATTATTATTATTTTCATTATCTTTATTTTTTTGAGATATGTATCATTTCATCAACAATCGCTTCACTGAACATCCCATTGCATAGAGTGATAGTTAATATTTAACGATTGTTTGATGATTAATAATTATTGTTCAATATTACTCATTATGCTGTGTGATAGGGTGTTCGATGAAGTGATCATTAATGAAATGATATGTATCCTTATTTTTGTTACTATTATCTTTGTTATTTTTATTTTGTTAATATCATCTTTGTTAATATCATCTTCATTATTTATATCTTTATTTTCATTTCTACACATATCTTTAGAATTTTTAAAAATAGAAAATGGACACCTTAAAAAAGAAATTAAACAATTAGAAGAAATAAATCAAAATTATATTGCAATACAAGAAGAGTTAAGACCATTTAAAAAAACCAGTACTTTTTCATTAAAGCTAATACTAAAATATTTTACTTTATATTTGTCATTTGTTAATGAAAATGAAACAGAAAAAACTTTATAACAACTAAAAAAAAAACATTATTATTTATCTGATTTCTTACTAATGATGAATCATTTAAAAGCTTTGAAAGAAACAAACAATTTAACAAAAAAGAAAGTTGAAAAAAAAGAAGAAAGTGCTTAAAAAAGAACCAAGTGTGAATTAAAAAAGACACAAAAGCAAGCAACGCCTAAAAATATTACCATTGAGTGATTTGCACAATGGTTTTGCTGATTTTTTTTGGTTAAGCTACGTGATGTTGAGTAATGTTAGGTTGAATTATCACGAGATGATCCGCCACATTACCCTCCAAGTGTAAAGTTTTAATTTTTTCAATGTTCTTAAATGAATAATAAAATAATGTCAAAATTACAAAATTACAAGCAATGTCCTTTTTTATAATCAATTTAAAGTACATTGGATGGAGTATAAGCTTTATAAATTTTATAAACAATTTTCTTTTTTTTGAAAACTTTTACTAATAACTATTCTTAACCGCGCCGGTTACTTTATAACGAAATAACGTGAAGTTGATCTTTGAGTCTAGTTTGGAACCGGTTTTAATAATTCGGGTTTATCACATGAATTTTGTGATATTTCAGAATTTATGTAAAATTTAATTGGATAAATTTTCAAAATATCATAAATTCACGTGATAAACCCGCATTATTAAAACCGGTTCCAACCTCTAATTCTAGTCATGCCTAACACAATTCTACAAACTCGGCATAAATAAATATCTGGTTTGTGAAAGCCGCAAACTTTCTCAGGTTTTTTTTTTAAAAAAAAAAAAGCTTGCATTTTTTTTTTTTTGAGTTAGAAGATCGTTAGCAATCTTACAATGGCAACACCTAGTAAACGTATGTATTTTCATTCCTTTAAAGAAAAGGTCTTATTAACATTATATGAATTTATTCGTATTAACATTGACGTTTTCAAAATATTTGCTAGTCTATATAGGACACCTTTCGACAAGAACAGAAAAAAGAGACCTGGAAGAGTTGGTATATATCGTTTATTCACCTTTTACTCGTTTGACATGGATTACCTGTCAGATCCATTTTCTAATCAACAATTCTTATTTTAATATTATAGTTTGAACGATATGGAAAAGTATTAAGTGTAGACGTAAAACCTATGGGATATGCATTTGTTGAGTTTGAGGTTAATAATGAGTATTATTAATGACATCTGTATCAGGAAGCTTGGTATGTGTTTGGCTTATCAAGTTCACTTTAAACAACTAATTGTTAAAACGTGTTGCTCTTGCACGTGGAAAACTGGCTTTATAGGATCCACGCGATGCTGATGATGCCGTGAAACAGCTTAATGGGTATGAGTTAGATGGCGCTCGAATCGCTGTAGAGTGGTCCCGTCGATCTGGGGGCCCTGGAAGCGGATGTTTTTTATGTGGAGGACAAGGCCACTGGGCTAGGGAATGTCCAGATGCTAGAGAAAAGGGTATGGATGTTAGAAGTGGTCGCTGCTTTCGATGTGGTGAACTAGGCCATTTGGCCAAATACTGCAGGTGAATTTCTATAACAGATAAACTTAAAGATTAAGTTTTATCAATAAATATTTTTATTAAAAAAATTGACATTTTAAACCATGTTGTAGAGGTGGCGGTGATTACGATCGTAGAGCGCCATCCCCTCGTTATCGGGGTCGTTCTCCGTATTATGGAGGTCGTGGCGGCGGTTATTATGATGATTATGGTCGTTATCGTCGGATCTCTAGGTCACCACCTGCGTATGGAGGTTCAGGAAGCGGCTCTTATGGACCGCCAAGGAATCGTTCAAGGAGTCCCGTCTATAGACGAAGTCAGAGCCCTTATGGATATGATTATGGAAGGAGAAGTCCGAGTCCTTATGGGTATGTTTTAGGACGGTGACATTTTTTTTCCTGGGATTATCTACATTCCGGTTTATTTCACTAGTTGCTATTGTGGTCGTTGATCTCTGCCAGACATGTTTCTGGATCAGTGGAAAGCGTACTCATTAAGAACATGAGGAATGCTTGGATTATTTGTGGGCAAGGGTTCAACGTATATGTTTTTTTTTTTTGGAGATTTCTAAGTTGTATGAAGGGATGTTGGGTATATGAGGATATGTTGAGTTATTCGTGGCTCATAAATTTTTTTTTTTTTTTATTCTGTTATTTAGTCGCTCCAGAAGATATTAGGAATCAGGAAGCTATACGGTGACACAGTCACGGATCGTATACAAAATCAAGTGGACTGGCAAAAGACTTTGTTATGCGTAATATGATTATTTTATTATTAAATCGTTATAACTGTCCTAAATCATCTATTGAAAATTTGGTACGTACACATGTACGTACGATATCTTTAGCCTATTAGACCAATGAAACCGGTGTCCGTCAGATTCGATCATAATACGTATAATTTGTTAAAATTGTTATACATATAAATTTTCATTATAAATATACTAAATTTTTAAAAAACCTTTACTATAGCTTATGCATATCGAAAGTTTATACATTTTATTATTCCGAATGAAAAATTTAATAGCGTCGATTTTGTTCTAAAATAATTCCTCATTATAACCAACATTCATTAAGCATGTAGTATTATCAACGAGCAGGCTCCACTAGTGGTCAATCATAATCATGCGATAATTGGCACTAAATCCCTTTAAATTACTAACGATAATGAAAGCGAAGTTTAGTCATGCCATTAAGAAGTGCCAGTCACAGATTTTCAAAGCCATCCGGGCTTAAATTCAGACCGTCAAATAAACCTTTTTCTCCTTTAATGTTGATTTATCTTAATGATTAACGTTAAGACGCTGATATATGAAATATATGAACGATAAGCCACAAATTTTATGTCTATACTTGGAGTTCACAGGACCTTTTTTTTTGACCTAAGTTCAGCCAATTATATTAAGAACAGTACGTACTGACACTAAACAGTCAGGATTAGTAATATAGAAGGTGCGGTTTATTCTGGAATGTTCTAATGGTCGTTAGTGTTAATCAAATATTTCAGATTTATTATTTAATAGATTGGATTTACCCGTACTAGATTTAGTACAGAAACTTGGCTAGAATTTCCGCCAATTAAATTAAGAAAGCCAAGCTCAAAATTAATAAATTATTGGTCATCTTATTAAGCATGATATACCAACTTGATACATTTGAATTAAAATGTAATTACACAAAATTTTACATATTAACTTGTAATTAAATAAATATATTTAATATTTAAAGATTTATAAAATATATTTATAAAAAAAAATTAATTTAATTTTTGATTACATATTGTTTAAAAAAATCTTAAAGTTAGTTAATTTTTTTAAAAAAAAATTAAAAAATTGAAATTTTTTGATATATTTTTAAATTAATCAATTATAATTAAGTATTTTTTTGTGCTATTACACAAGTACTTTGGTGTAACATTTATGTATTAACCTATAAAATTTCAACTATGATTATTATCTAAAAAAAAAAAGTTAAAATAAAAAAAAATTACCTATTTAAATTAGTTTACTATATAAAAAATTGATTAAGACTAATTTTCACCTAGGTGATATTACCTCTGTATTATAAAAATTTCTTATATTTAATTTTAATTTGGAATAGGTGATATTACCTTTGTTTATTTAATTAAAGAGAGTATCATTAATCATTATTTTATCAATTTCGCATATATAAATTCAACAGCTTACTAATCGCTCTTTTTTTTTACATCTAGTGACAACTAATCTTTCACTACTAGAGTATGAACGATTTTCATTATTCTTTGTCACTTCCTTATTTCAACACTTATGAATATGGCCATACACCAAGTGCTTCTTCATCATCTTATTTTAATATCCATAACTATGCTCAAGAAGACATATTGTCTTACCTTAACATTCATAATTATAATGATAGTGCAAACACTTCGTTATCGTTTTATTCTAACGCCTACGAACAAGATTTTATAAATACTTTGCAGTCACCTGATCCAATAAGTACTTATATTAACAAATGACTAACAATTTGTTTTTGTTAAATTTTAACATCTATAATCTTGTTCTAATTAGGTTCTTTTCGGCTGTCAACTAACAATGAGTTGGTTGAATCAGATGTGGATGTTGATACTCGACCATGTAAAGTAGACAATGCAGTTTATGTTGATGAAAAAAGTGAATATGATGATAGTGAAAATGAGGATAACGAATATAAAGATAACGAAAATGAAAAAGCACAAGATTCATTAGTATTATACGAAGAGATAGAATTTAAAACATGAAAACTTGCCGAATCATATCTGAATGATTATGCAAAACAAAAGGGTTTAGTTTTCGGAAATGAAAATGTGTTTTGGATTCTGATAATAACACTGTAATAAGATGATGAACATATGAATATTCACATGCTCATATGCATGAACCTGAAAAAACTGTTCTCACAGAAAATAGAAGAAATAGGGATTCAGAAAGGATCGGTTGCCCTTGGCATATTAATTTAGCATTTTCCAAGACAACAGAAAATATTCAAGTTAACAGCATAGTAGGCAGCCATAATCATGAAATGAACCATCTTGTTTCAGAAATAGCACTACGGTATCAAAAGCTAACTTATGAAATGCTTGATAAGATCAAGTTTTGGACAATTCAAGAAAAGATGGGTTTAATAACTCAGTATAATTTGTTAGTTGCATCATTCTTAAGAAAAATCATTAATAAAAAAGATCAGAGTAATGCAATTCAACGATTTAAAAGCCAAATTAAGCCTAATAAAAATGATGCATACAAAATGCTTGATAATTTATACTCAAAAAAAGAAGAAAATCTGATGTGGATAGTAAAGCCACGTTTTGATTCTGAAGAAAGATAGCTTAACTCATTGTACTGGATGGCTTCAAATCAAATTAGTGCTTATGAACGATACCATAATGTTGTAATCATCAATACTACATTCAAGACCAATCAATTCGATATAATATTAATGCTGATTATAGTAGTGGACAATAACTTTAGGAATTTGATTATAGCATCAGCAATCATAAAAGACGAAACTGAGTTGACATTTATCTGGATTCTGCAAGAGTTAAAAAATTCCTGTGAGATTGCACCTATAGTATTATATTCTGATGCCGATCTTGCTTTAATATCAGCTATACGAAAATGTTATCCAGATACACAGCATCTTTATTGTATCTTTCACATTGACTTGAATTTAAGAAAGAAACTCAAGGGAAAGTTACATAAGCAATTTAAGCTCTTTCATATTAAATTCCTTGTAATGTATAATTCCTTATATCATAAAAAATTTGAGGATAGATGAGAGTCACTTGTTAATGAATATTTAGCATGTGAAAGTTATCTTAAGAGTGTTTTATATTCTTGTAAAACCAGTTGGACTAGTTATGCTATAAAGTGATACTTCACTGCAAGGATCCAGAATACCCAACGAGCTGAAGTTACTAACAAAATTATCAAAAATAGGCTAAACAGAACTTCATGGCTAATGGATATTGTTGAGAAAATTCAGGCAATATTCAATCAACAATCAAAAAAAGCAGCATTAACTGAATGCAAAAACGAGATTCCAACAAAAGGCATACCAACAATACTGGACGAATACTTCCCTGAATTAGATAAGATATTGAAAGAATATCTTACACCACAAATACTTCAAAACAACAGGATCAAATGGCCCAATTGATATGTTATGACGCTGTATTGGTTGATAGTTGGTTGCCATTTCTTGAAGTAAAAATCTTTAAATAGGTTAAGAGTCTTAGTTGATTAATCATTATATTTGATTAATCGTTATATTTTTATTTTTTTTTTAGGTACTGGACAACTCCTACCAACAAGAAATAGCTAGAGAGGATGATTACGATCAACCTCAGTCTTTGTTTCTTTCTCTGCTTGAAGTTATACCTCAAGACTGTATTCAATAAGTTTGAAAAATAAGTAGGCATAGAAGACAACAATCTGATCCTCAATATGTTATTATACTTAATGACAGCTTACATTTATGTGTTTGCCTCTGGCTTGTCAATCGTAGAATCGTGTATAGACACTTCTTTCATGTTATGTCTTATTCAATTAATGCACAATTCCACATTGTACTTATCTCTAAATGCTGGTATAGTAATAGCAAATTTAATAATCGACAAGCTGAAACATTGTTACCAATATATCAAAGTAGAATTGAGTCAAATGAGCTAGAACAATTACCTCAACCACTATCATTTCAATATCTTGCGAAATTTAGACAAACACCAAATGTTATGCAAATGCAAGGCCCCAAACAAAAATATGGATATGGCATGGGTTATGCCAAAAAAGCACTTGATCTGGCTATTCGAACTAACAAAATTGATGAATTTGTTAGCGAGATAGAATGTTTTATTGAAAAAGTAAAAAGGAACCAAGATGACAATGATAACATTGATCCTACAGATGTTGGAGATCCATTAAGAGTACGACATAAAGGTTGACAACCAAAAAGGTATAAATCAGATGAAGAATTACCAAAAAAGATTGACAATTCTAAAATCAAGAAGGGTAAGAAAACCAAAAAGAGTGAAAGACATTGTCATAAGTATAAGCAAACAGGTCATTATGCTCCACAATGCCCTAATCAATGTTAATTTAGTTTGTAGTGTAGCAATATGATATAGTGCAACAAATTGAAATGCAATATAATGTATTGTAAATTGCTTAATTTGTAATTGTTAAATCACGTGCCTCTTTTAAGTATGCAGTAGAATTTGAATTTTTAATATGTTAAACCCGATTGATAATATATAAAAATAAATCCAGCAAATATCTTGAACACAACTTACAATTCACGTTACTCTTATATCAGTAAATGTCTTATTTTAAAATGTATGATATTACCAATTGTAAAAATTCTTCAGTTAAATATTTAGAATTATTAAACTTTGTTCGAGCCAAATTATATTGCGATTGAATTAATGACAATAAACAATTAAGCAGTAGAGTTTGGAATTAGTTTTATTCATGTAAACAATAACTAGCTTTAAACTCTATATTTTATTATATGGTTAGTTAGCAGCTAGAGTAGATGATTCTAATAATAAAACATGAGTTGCACTATCTTTATCGCTATACTACATAGCACAGTTTCAATCAAAACATGCCTTTATGAGGTCCAATAAATTGTTACACAAGAGTATCATATCGAATTATAACATAGGTTTTTAGTTACAAGTAATATGTTATATGATACTATTTTGTGTAACAATTTGTTGGACCTCACGAAGGCATGTTTTGATTAAGACTGCTCTAGAGTTTGGAATCGGTTTATTTTTCATATGTTAAACCTGATTTTAATTGGTTTTAATATATAACAAATAAAACTAGTTCCAAACTCTATATATATATACATTGTATATACAGTATATATATATATTATATATATACTGTATATACTATATATATATTTATAGTAAATATATATATTATATATATAAGGGTAATTTCACTCTAGGGGTAAGTTAGCAAAGGTCTAAAAAATTAATAATTTTATATAGTAAAATTAATAATACTTATATATAAAAAGTTAATAATTATAAAATTTTTTTAAAATTTAAAAAAAATTTTATTTATATTTATATATATAAAATAAACTTCTTAACATATATTTTATATTTATATTATTTAAAAATACTGTATATTAATTATTAATTTTATTTTATTTTATTTTTTTTATAATTAAAGTTTCTATTTTGAAGATTTGATATTTTATTTAAGTTTCATTAGGAAACAGATGCCTCTAAGAGCTCCCTTACATTGAAGGTTACAACTAGCCACACATGCACTTTTGGTGCTTAATTTAAGTAGTTCGCTTACACATTGCTATATAAGTTCTATACTAGTTGTTATACCTGCAAGCCAACTAGAGATCTTGCTTATTTAAATTCTCTGCATATGCAATCCTCCTTGTATCATAAGAACATTTCAAGGCTACACCTATCTAAGTTTCTGATACTTATTATTACCCTTAGAACTACTTTATCCTCGATAAGAAACTTACTAGAGCCTTTATATTCCACACATATAGACCTAGTTTTATGTAATATACTATAGTTACCTAATACTTGCAGTCATAGAGGTTACCTGTTTAACTGCTATGTTACACTATTTTTACTCTTGTAAAGTTCACTAGAACCTCAATATCTATCTTCTTGGTATCTTCTTTATCATTCCTTACTAGCCACAACTCAGAACTATCAGTCTTATTTCAGACTACCAATTCAGATGGCCTGGTATAGTATACTTATGTATCTTTTTTCTCTAGTAAATCTGGCAGCCTAGTTGATTATGTGCTCTTTTACACATATTTGATGTCTGGTTTTAATCTTTGGCTCATATAAAGGTGTTTTATAAACTTCAGCTAATCTGATGTTACCATTGAAAGTTCATGTTATCTCTTTACTCAAGGATTTTCAAATGAGTTTCTGTTATCTTGGTTCCTTAGTTTTCTATACTCAATGGTCTTATCATGGGTTTGCACTGAAGTCTCATGCAACACCAGTAAACATTTTTCTTTATATGTGTAATATTATACTTTACATAGATGCCTGAGCTCCTAATGTCAGGAGGACCTGACTTGGTGTATCTAGATAACAGCCACATGAGGCCAATTGATTGACAGTAGACAGTTACTATAATGCAGATATAATTTTCAAATTTCATCATAGATGGAATTTGAACCTTAGACCTGCCACTTGGAGAATGACAACCCAACTACTACACTAGAATCATTATCTTTAATTATTAATTTTATAAACTTGATATATAAGTATATGTTATATAAAAAATCACTATATTTTTTTATTTACAAGTACTTATTTATAAATTATTTTAATAAAAATTTTTTTAAATTTTAATAAAATTTTATCTTATATGTAAAATAATATAAAGAACATTTTTATCTAATAGACAAAATATAGTTTGTATAATAATAAAAAAGCTATAAATTAAAAACTAAATAATTTAAATATTTTTTTTAAATTTGTAAATTAATAAGAAAAAATATTTAACAAATTTATTTTTAAACCTTAATATTATAGTATATATAATTCTAAAAGTATAGTTTAAAATAATAGTTATTAGATTTA